CTCTCTCTCTCTCTCTCTCTCTCTCTCTCTATCTCTATCTCTATCTCTATCTCTCTATCTCTATCTCTATCTCTATCTCTATCTATCTATCTATCTCTCTCTCTCTCTCTTACACACACACACATCAATATGAATTTTGATATAAAGTACAATAGTCATGTAAATACAGATATAATATATAATTAGATAATACATAGAACAGTGATATTTAGATCTGGATAAGAAGAAGAATGAAATAACCATTATGCAACTATGAGTGTTACTGGAATGCTGTAAAGATTAAAAATGTGGCGTAAATTGTAACATTTTAGGATGCACGTTGCCCTGCAAAATTCTCAAGTTCAGATTTGAATCTTACCTCTCTAGATAGTAGCCCTTTTTCAGGGAGAATATGGCGGAAGGCTCAGACACAAGGCTCCTCCTGGCTAGACTCTGTATTGTAGGCAAGAATGAAACTTACGCAATGATACTCTGCTTTTTGCAGATTAGTGTGCTTTGCATTGCCTAGTATTAAGAACTCACAGTCCTAAAATATGTCTTTAAACCCCGGGTGTTTCTCCAATCTTTCTGAGTTAATGGATACTTTGCAGTATACTTGGTACCTTTTGGCAGGTCACCTAAATTTTGGGCCATGGTCCTTTCTAGCCTAGGCCCTACAGGTTGATCACTTGGTTGCAGCCACCATCTTAACTTGATGTCCTTATTGCTGTCTTATGATAACTGATGTTGCTTTTTTCGATTACATAGGTTTCTCCATCACTCTGCAACAATGCAAAAAGTTTCATTGAGTTGTCTTCTGATATATTCGCTTGTGATTTACTTGAAGCAGGAGAAGCCAGGGAGGCTGTAGGCAAAGGAAGAGATGATGGTATAATGAAAGCCAACACCTAACATTTACTCCTAAAGTAAATACAACAATCCCAGATCCCACTCATGGAAATAATATGGAAACAGATTTTTTTTTAAAGAAAGAAATGCTGAAAGTATTCCCTTTTTTACAATACTGAAAAGATTTAAACATTTTGATCACATTATTTTTGCTCCCATGTACTATTAAAGATTGGATACTTACTTAAGTACAGTATGTAAATCTGAAAATCTGAGATTTGATATTCTGAAAATCCCAACATATTGATAAAGGGAAGATTTATTAAGATGAAATATGATACTGGAAATTTCAAATTGAAGTATAACATTATTCTCTTAAATTTAACATTCAGTGGCTGTGCAGTCTGCTCTCTTTTTAATTACACAATTAAGACTGAAAAAAGTTGAGTGGGGCTGGAATATTTTTATGAGACTCCAATCTGCATTACTGAGATCCTTAAATATTTAGCTTTATAATCCCTGCTTTCATTTCTATTGGTTTTATTTTATTTATACAATTATATTCCAATCCAAGTAATAGACAGATGGACTAGTTATCTCTTTCTCTTGCTCAAACTGGAAAGTGCAAGAAATTAATTAATTCATTTTGAGGCTCATGATATCTGGAACATATTAGTTTGACCCTACTTTAGAAGATTCCAGTTTGTTGTAACATATGTTTGCTTGAGTTTTTTTTAAAGTTGATCTAATTATCATATAATCAGACAGTCCATCACTCTGGACTGTTCAAATTGCTCTCTCCAGCATTTGTATTGTATATGTTGTCCTTTGAAGTTCGTCATTTATATACTTTACCAAGCTTAACAATTTTGTTTTAGCAACAATACAAATCTTTGATGTCAGTCAAGCAAACTTTCGTCTGATTTAAAACATGTTGAGCTTTCTTTAAAAAATGGTCCTGGTTTAATAATTATAGGGCATAATTCATCCTGTGACTGACAGTAGCATAGCAATAATTAAGAAATTAACTAGTTTTATTCAGCTATCACAAATTATGTTTTCCACTATCACATGGATGGTGGCCTTGGAAGCTAGAAAGAAGAAAGTGAAGCTGCAAAGTCTGTTTTTTTATTCAATAATATATCTTCCAATATTTGAGGGCTGTCATAGAGAAGAGGCAACTTAGTCTCCAAAGCATCTGTGGGCAGGACAAAAATAATGGATGGAAGCTTATCATGGAGAAATGCAACCTAAAACAAAGGATAAATTTTCTGACAATGAGAACAATTAATCAGTGGGACGCCTTGCCTCTAAAAGTTGTGGATGCTCCATCACTGGAGGTTTCCAAATAGAGTTTGGACAGCCATTTTTTACAGAATGGTCTATGGCAGGGGTGTCCAAACTTAGGAACTTTAAGACTTGTGGACTTCAACTCCCAGAATTTGGGAGTTTGGACACTCCTGGTCTATGATCTCCTGCTTGAGTAGGAGGCTGGATTAAAAGACCTCCAAGCTCCCTTCCAATACTGTTATACTGTTAAGGATCTCTCCACTGGAACAAGGAATCAAGGAAATCATTTATGTTACAGCAGCATTGAACATCCAAAATATGCAAAGACTTAAAATGTCAATAGGTGTCAATGCCAAGCCAAATTCCCATACAAGGTGAGAGGAGCTGATTCAATCTTCTTCAACCATGGTGCCTTTCAGAAGTATTGAATTAAATTCCCATAATTCTAAAAGCCATGAAAAGAAATATTGTTTGCCAAGTTGTTTCCCAAAGCTTTTTTTCTTTTGGGCTGCAGAAAAGAAAAGATTTAGGGTCTGAACTTCCTTCTTCCTATTTATAATTGGCATTTGGCATTTCATTATTTGTATTGCATTAGTGCATGTAATGTAAAATGTAAACACAAGCCTGTTTTAGGCTAAATAAAGATCAGCAGAAATATTTATCGGAACCAAGTGAAACAGGAATTTTTCAGCTACAGTAAAATAGTATGCACAGGGTTGAGCCACACATAGTGCAAATAAACCATGTTTAATCTTACTAAATAAGCCACTGTTCTCTCAGGACGGTAAGCTATCAACAGAGACTAAGTTCTCAGAACACGCTAAGCCAAAATTAAACATACCACAGTATAGCTATTGTGTGATGTGTCAATCCAGCCCAGTATTATTGGGACCTATCAGGATAACAGTTAGGAATCTAATATTAAGCAAAATTAGGGTTAAGATAAGTTTGAAATCTTGAGCCGACTCAGATTTGCACTGTTCCAAATACGTTTGCTAATAAATGAGACCAATTCAGTTCAACAACGTTGAGTTTATTAATTAATATTAAGAATTGCAGCCTTAACCTCCCCTCTCCCGCGCAACTGACTTAAGAGCTCAGTGTATAGCACTGAAATAAATGCATGTCATGTACATAATGGATTCACATGAAAACAATCACCTTAACCCATTTGCAGAATGATGTTCAGACATTCTCTTTCCCCAATTGTAATCCGAGGTAAGTCACAGATTCTTCTATAGGTAGGACTTGCTCAGTGAGCACAATTGGGATCAGTCATTAATTGAAGCAGCCACTCAGTGAAATCACAACTGTTCTTATGGCTTCCTTCAATTTTCTTTTGCTTTACACACCTGTGAAGTTTGTAATCGGGAAGCCTGGTCATAAAATTATTTTTTTCATCACCATCTTAACTTCAATCTTTTACTTGTTTTCTTTTCTTTCCCCATTCGAAAAAAAGAAGGCTTTTAAGGGCGAAAACATAAGGAAAAGGGGCCTCCCACTATGCTCCTACCTGTGGATTCATTACACAGTACTTCCATTTATCTCTTCTCTATTTGCAGGGTCGGTATTTCTTGCTATGTTGCAGCAGCTGGTTACCTTGCCTGTGCCTTGATGGGCCTTCTTTGTATTCCTTCTCAGACAAAGCCACAGTCCAAGGGAAATGAAGCACAACAGGGTGAGTGCCTGCCACATCTGAGCTTTAAGAAGGGAGGGGGAAAACCCAAAATATTTCAGGCTGAAAGTCTGAACTAAAACTATTTGGAGTTCTGTGAGTAACCTTTCAATTAGGCTAGGGCTGCTTTCCATTTCAGCTGCATGGCACAGGTTTTGGGGAATTCAGCTTAAGCTTAACCTCAAGGTAGGTGGAAGTGTGATTGCTTTCTTTTACTCCCTGGGGGTGGGGGCAATGCTGGCTTTAATGTATTGAAATCCTTAACTGGCTGGTAAGATATACATGCATAAATATAATTTATGCTAAATTAGACCAAAATCTTTGGTAAAGATTCTTTTAGTAGACAAATGAAATGGGACACTGGCCTGCCACAAAGCAACTGCCAATTTTAAGCATCCACTTTTATTTCCTAGAATGCCTCTGATATCCTTGGCATCCTTTAGAAATAAAAAGAGAGGAGGGGACACAGGCCATTACTTGGTTTGGTACTGCCTCCATCTCCCCAGAAGAAAATACCATGATAACCTGGACTGGATCTGGGTTTTTTTTCTAATGAATAGAAAGATCTGACTATTCTCATGTGCAATAGTAGCCATTTTATGTCTGGAAAAACTTGCCTATTACGGCCATTTTATGAAAACATCCATACTTCCAAAATCCTTAAGGTTCCAGAGGGAAAGAAATGGGGAACCAGCACAGAATATTCTGATAACTCTTTTTTTCTAAAACTAATTACAGGCATGGGGGGGGGGGGAGGGAGGCTGGACAGACCTGTAAGACCAAAAGGAGAATCTTAATCTTTCCATTTCCAGCCCATTAAAACAAGACAACCTGTGTAACTGCAAGCAATAATGAAAGTATCCCAGAATATTCTCAGAACAAATCTAGTCATAAAATCACACCATGGTAACAGAATAACAGAGTTGGAAGGGACTTTGGAGGCTTTTTAGTTCAATTCTGTCCTCGTGCAGGAGACCCTATATCCATGATGGCAAACCTATGACACTCATGCCACAGGTGGTATGAAGAGCCTTCTCTGCGGGCAGGTGAACCGTCATCCCAGCTCAGCTCCAGGGGGGCCATGCATGGGGGCAAGGGGAGTGGGGGGGGTGCGGCACCCCCATGGCCCATTTTTGGTCCCAGGAGGCTGCAGGGAGACCTTCTAGGCCCAAAACCGAGTGAGGGGGGGGTCGCACACAAATGCGTGGGGGCAGGGGTGAGCACATGTATGCATGCGGGGCAGGGCGTGGGGATGTTGCACACACCTTGCATTATGGGTGCGGGTGCGCATATGCTTTCGGCGCACGACAACAAAAAGGTTAGCCCTCACTGCCCTATACCATTTCAGACAAATGGCTGAGCGTGTTCAACCTCTTTTTTTATGGCAGCCCCTCAAATATTGGAATACTACTATCAAACCACTCCTGTCCTTCTTTTCATTAATCTAGACACACCCAATTCCAGCAACTGTTCTTCGTATGTTTTAGCCTCCAGTCCCCTAATCATCTTTGTTGCTCTTCTCTGCACTCTTTCCACATCTACTACTATGTACTATTTACTACATCTGCAACTATGTGGCACATAATTGTCCATATAATTATAAAACATTTTGTATTATTTTATTTCAAAAGCTTACCTATGTCTGAAAAATATTTTAACTTCCCCCCCCACCAGGAACATCACAGTCCAGTAGTGTTTTTAGCTTCCAAGAAATTATACGACTGTTGACACTTCCAGGAGTAATGGATGTTTTCTTAATCAAAGTCCTTTCTGTATTTCCTACAGGTGAGTCTGCTATAATTTTTGTAATAACAATTTTCAGTTATATATGATTTGCGGAATAGGGGAACAGATTACTAAAATCTTCTGTGATTCTGTCTTAGGGAAAAAAATACATTTATTTAGGTGCCAATGATATAATGTGACATAGTTACTGGGGCATTTAACACATGATGACAGTTGGTTTGCCATCTAGGCAATTGCTTTGAGATTATATCTAAGATTTCCTGTATCATACCTTTCTTTGATAGGTGTTATCTGCTAGTGTGGCCAATCAGAATACAGTACTTTTGGTTTTAAGGGATGAAATTGAACTGTAGTTTGAAGAAGAGGAGAGGGAGGAAGAGGAGCATTTTTGCTTGTGCCCTTGTTAGGAGAAATGAGAACTGCAATGGCTCTGTGTTGTAGGTTCCAGCATACAACTGCCTGCCATTGGAATTTTAGCTTGTTTTACATTTGGAAGTCCTAAATTCAGTTTCTGTAGAGCATTAGGAAGATGAGCTTGAGGGAAAGAGACAGGAATTTTTAAAGAAGCAAAGGAGACAGAGACATTCTTAAGTCCTGGGAAGAGAAGGAGGCAAAGCACAATCAGACTGGCAAAATGTTGTTTTATGGCTTATCTCAATCAAGTGTGGTTGATTTTTCTAGTGGAGTCTGTTTCCTGATCTAGTCTACATCAAAGGGCTGATGTCAATCTCGCAAGCCTCATTGTGCTTTTCCTTGTTTATTTTCTTCAAGGTCATTTTCTCATTCTCTACAGTTTCAACACTTAAGATAAGATCAGTAAAACACCTAAAGAGTCCAGGCATGGACTGGTCTTATACATTGAGTTAAACCACGGTTTGCTTTCTACCCCATAACTCCAAAACTGCTGGGTTTATACAACATGCTAAATCCAAATTAAACAAGCCATAATATAGCTTGCTGCAATCCATTGTAGATTGTATTGGATTAGACTGTGTAATGATCTACTTCAATATGCAATGGCTTTCTGTTATGAAAATATGAAAAGGGGAAAAAAAGAGGCTATTTTGACTCCACTGAATTTAATGGCAGACTTTTGATTTACCCACCACCTATTTCGTGAATATAACGGTGCATCAGTTTTGAAATTATAAAACTCAGCTGATGGAATTTGAGATCCAGACACAAATGGCAGGATTGGAAGATTTCCAGTAAAAAAAATTGCACTGCTGAAGGCCTAATCTAGGTCAAGGCTAATAGCTCTTTGTTAAGAAAAAGGCTAAGGAATCTTAACAGTGGAGTTTAAACTTACACCATTAATGTAAAGTATCCTTTTTTCCTACTTCAGCATTCATTCCCTTAGCATTTTTGTAATGAAATCAGGTCCCCAGAATTCTTAAAGAATTATGCTATTAAACACTTTTCCTGAATTTATGGGATTTTTTTTTCTATGCAAAGCTGATCCAGTAACGTGAGATTTTAGGAACAAGATCTAACCTCAGAGTCTAAATTTGTATGGTTGTTATCTGTTGATTCATATTGTAAATTGTAGGAAGTATCTCTATTTATATTGTAAGCAAGGCTATGATATACATTATACACAAAGACCCAGCTCTCTTATTTACAGTATTCTGGTATAAACCGGGGTTATTTTGACATAAATCTTAAATTTCCAGGACAAATCTGGTATTTAGACTCTGACTTTCCCACCTGGGTAGGAATTTTTCAAAACAATAATAACCCTAAAGGAAGCTATTTTAAAAAGCATGGTTCTGTTAAACACAAACTGTACTGTCTTGTGTACATTTCCCTCAAAATGAATGTTTTTATTCAGACTCAAAGAAAATGGACATGAGAAGAGGCACCATCAATACTATATTTAATAAGAATACAACTTAGAAGTTTTGAATGTTTCAGAAAACGACAAGGCATTTGGAATGTGAGAGATGCTCGAAAATGCGTATCAAATACAGAGGTTTCAGAAAGACTGAAAGGGAAAAAGGCATATCGGAGTCCGTGCTTTGTGTAGATTAAATCCTTGACTAAGGTTTTCTTAAGGCTGAGAAAAGTGGAATCTGTCTGGGATACAGAGACATCTGCACCAGGGGTGGGTTTCTTGCCCCGTTCCAACCGATTCGGTTGGAACGGGGCCGGCGGCATCCTCGTGCATGCGCGCAGTGCATGCATGCGTACTAGCGCCTGTGCGATGCTCCAGCTGCTCCTGGAGGATTGCGCAGACGCTGTATGCGTTCTGCACATGCGTGGAAGCGCAGAACTCGTCAAAACCGGGTAAGAAACACGGGCTGGCGGGAGGATCCTTTGGCGTTCCCGAAAGATACTTACTTCCGGGTTTGCCAACCAACCAGTTCGTGGGAACCGCCGCGAACTGCCTGAAACCCACCCCTGATCTGCACCTCCGTATCCTAGACAAAGTAGGCAGCATCTTCAGCATCTACAAATTGTAGAGTAAAACATCCTCTCTTTCTATCATCATCACAACTACTCTATCCCCTATTGTACCATTATTGGTCTGATGACCAATAATGACCAATAAGGGGTCGAGGTTGTTTTTTACATTCCATTATAGGACCACAGAAACTTTATAGAAGTCATGGCTTAAATTCATAGAAACAAAGGAGTAGCATTCATTGCAACTGGGGAGCTTCATTCCATCATGCCTACATTGCAACTTAAGCATTTTATTAAGGCAGGTGAGGGAGTGATGCATTCTAGTACATTGGGCACAGAGTGAAACGGCTATACAGAGTTCCAACTAGCCACTGAAAGCGAGGGGAGAGCCAGGTACTGAAGCCAATCAGAGCTGGGGATGATGCTAAATTGAATGGCGCATGATACACCAATCTCTTGAAAGGGCTGAATACTGCTCAGGATAGAAAAGTAGAGCTTCAGACCTACAACAAGTCTGTTGTAGGTCTGAATAAGTATCATCGGCTGGAAGTAGATGGAAGACAGTGTTGTCTCTTCCTGAACTCAAAAATGGTAGGTAGCCTGTAGTAGCTATGAGGCAAGTAGAAAATGGGAATTGGGTCCATGATTGATCCTAATGACCAAATTGCATAATAAGTGTCTGATTAAAAAAAACACAACACTAAGCAGGGTTAGGTCTGGATAATACTTAAACGATAGCTTATAAGGACATTTCACAGGGTAATAGACTAATATGAAAAGTCATAAAGGAGTTTAAAAATCCTAGATGGCAATGGTAACTGTTTCCATATTATGACTAAAAAAACTACACAAAAGGCAGCAGTAATTTGGAAAATTAAATATCTGGTCCTTGTCACTGACTCAGATTGGATTCTGTGAGAGAACATAATTCAAGCAATAACATGGAAATTTTATCTGTTTATGCCATTATGCAATAATGGAGAAGGAACTATTCTCTGGAGCAGGCTATTTAGGACCCCTCTAGATATTCCCAATAAGATAAACTTCAGTGAGATTGTTCTGATACGATCTCATTAAAAACTGCAATAACAATTTCCTGGTTATCCTAAAATAAGGGGTTTTGTTTTTGTTTTAACCCTAGGGGTGTTCCTAATCATGCTTTCCATCATATCCATCGACTTCTTTGGTCTGGAAGTTGCACATGCTGGGTATTTGATGTCCTACAGTGGAATACTTCAAATGGTAATACAATGGGGATTGACAGCTAGTCCTCGTATTCCTTCATTAGATAATATAGAAATAAGAAAATGTAACCTATATATTTATGGAAAAAAGAAAATGCATCATCAGTATGTGGCATTTTTAGTGTATGTGTGTCCGTGCATCTGTCTGTGTGTCAGTGTGCATAGATAAATTTAATTTTAGATATATAGATATGTAGCTATATACATCATCAGAACTATGATAGCACCTCATCCTGTCAAATGCTCTACTAAGCTTTTCCATGGAATAGTCACACATTGCTGGGAGCAGAGTTTTTGTGCCTATTTGAGCTATTTGTATTATTCTAAGACTACAGGGTGATCTGGATCCCACCAACATGTCAGTATCATTATCTATGCATTGGAGAAGAATATCTGAAGCATCTATTCCCATCCCCAATATAGAGACCTAAAGCCAGATCAGGATTCAGGAGGTGGGGAGGGAGATATTCCTAAAACCTGCCCTAATTGAGATGTTTCCCCCCCTCAAGAGTTGGGATAGCTTTTGCGATTTTCCCTGTAGCCTCTTTTCAATGATTAAGCAAGAATAATGGCTTTGAATAATGCTAGTATAACCGCTTATTACCAGGAAGCCAAGGACGTTGGTTTGGACTTTTCTTTTTCCAAAAATCACCTCCCTTCTAAAAGGAAGAAGAACTTTCAGATCCAGATAGCTCATGGATATTTGCTATTTAATATGTTGATGGGAGCAGACAAGCCTGGAAGGATTTTGAGATACAATATTGTAGATCAGGGGTCTCTAATCTTGGCAACTTTAAGTCTGGAGGACTTCAACTCCCAGAATTCCCCAGCCAGCTTGCTCCAGGCTTAAAGTTGCCAGTTGTGAAGGTTGGAGACCCCAGTTCTAGATGCCAACTCATCAGTGCTAGAAAAAAAAAGATCTCTTTGTTTTATCATGAGACTTTTAATTTTAGTTTGTTAAAATGCTGCGTTAACAAAAAAAAAATTTAGTTATGAAATTTGTCAAATCAGCCTTTAGGCTAAACCTGTCTGTGAAGCATTCCTCAATCAGAGTCATCTCTTGCTTTTACTAAAGTGATTTCTGTTTTAATATCTTTTGGCCTTAGAATCACAGAGATCCAATTTACTTTTCAAATAGTCCGCTGTCATTTATCAGATACAAAGGTTGGGAAGGTGAAAAAGGCAGGGAATTTCCAAGGCCTGTAATTGGATAAGCGATGATTAATGTAATGCATTAACAGAAGTTTCTGCCATTTTACTGTATTTTTACCACACAGAAGAATAATTTTCAGTTCTCTTTATCTCTCTGAAGTTTGTGCAGAGCACTGATTGCTTTTATCTTAGCATGGAGCAAAATGAATTTTACCTATTTTATTTATCTGGGTGCCGGTGGAGAATTTCTTTTTCTCTCCCTTCAAATGTGCCAATCTCGTTCTGCAAATGGTTTTCTTTTTAAACTTTGGGGGGGGGGGGGAAAGTTGGCTGATTTTGACCCTGAAACATAGAAAACAGAACTGTCCTGTTTGCTTTAAGCCTCTTTTTCTCTCTGTGTGTATATGCAGAACAAAATAGCGTGGTTATATGGAAACTCAAACAGACACACACCCATTGTGTATGAGAAGGAAAGAGGCATCTGCTGCAGTGGGAAGAGAAAACCATTTGTTTGTCTGTTCTCATAGCACGCATTCCACATTAAGAACAAACCGGGAGGGGATGTTATGCTCCTTTGGAAAAAAAAATCCCTCATTCAAGAGGTTTTGCCTCTGCTCTTTAACATGCTGAAGACCTTTCCTTCTTCCTAGAGGAAAAAAAGAAACATCTCATTTTCTATAGCTTTGAACCATTTGTTCTTACATCTTTTCTCCTTCAATAGCACTTGTCTTCATTGTGCTTTTAATTTAGCGATTATAAGCCCACAACATCTTTCCAAGGACAACCCCTCCCCCCATCATTTGTTTGGAAATTGTTCCAAAATAGTGTCCCTGAACAATGCTAAAGTTTGCTTCTTAACCAGTGATGTTTTAAGTGCACAATCCATGAAAATGTCTTAAAAATTCAATTATTTCTTTTGTGTCACACTTTCCATTGAGTTTAAACAGCTCTGTTTTTCCAAGAGATGACTATGAAATTTTAATTCAAAACTTCTCAAACTCAAAAATCCCCAGTAATTGTTCACAATTATTTTCCACAATTTATTGAATAAATATTAAGTTGATTAGCCAAGACATGTTTGTTTTTAATAATAACTACCTGGATACCCATGCTTTGCAACAAAACTATGTGATCGGGCTTTGCAGGAGAAATTTGGTTCACAATCGGTTGGCTCAGTGGTGGTCGGTAATTGAAACACATAAGGGAATATCACTCCCGCAGCCTTGAGTCTGGAAGCAGTTTCATAAGTGGAAGACATAGACATTTTGGTGAGGTACTGACATTTAGTACTGTAAGGAGCCCCAGATCACTCCTGAGTGAAGGAGTGGAACACCTGCCAGTTTGACCTGGCGACTGGCAGTTGGAAGAAGAGTTCTTTTCAGGTGTGGAGGGGGAGTAGAATGTCTAACTCCTTAGCATCGGAGCGTGTTAATCTATATATATAAATACTGTATAAGAAATACTAATGATCTGATGATTATTTCAAAAAATGCTTTCTTAGCAAGCACCTAGAAGCCAAGAGGAACATATATGCCAAATTTTAAGTTTGTAGGCCTTACAGTTCTGGAGATTTTATGATGATGTGTGAGTGGTATTTCACTTTTATATATATATATATATTTGATAATAATAATCAAAATGATTTTTATTGTTTTCAGTTATGTCTTGCCCCACACTTAGACACTCACAAAAGATGTGATACACCAAATTCTTATTAGCTTGTCTCCCCCACATCCCCATCAAGCAGTTTTATAAACAACCTACTATACTTATGTCAATGTGTACTTGTTTAGTAATTTCACAATTTATGGCAGCTTTTTCCAATCCTATTTCTATCTAAAAAAAATCTATTAGTGAGCATTTGCACGAAGTACTTAATGACAACCACTGAATATTGATTTCATTTTATTTTATTTTATTTTATTATTATTTTATTTATTTACAAACCCACAAAATACACACATACAAAACTTAGACGTGCACTACGGTTACACAATACAGTACAAACAGGAATTTCTAATAGCAATTTCAATAGATGAGTAAAATAAGAGGGTTAAAAATGGTGAAACGCAAATGAAATATACTAGAAGGGGAAATAACATAAGGAGAATTGTATCGATTTGAAAAAAAGTGATTTCTATTTAGAAGGGCTTTACATAGAAGATTGTCAGGAGATAATATAAAACTAAACTGAAGGCATTTAATCCTAGGGAATATCCCAGCACATTCCCTAGAAGGCAGCTGCAATGCCTTTTCTTCTTTCCCTGCATCTTCCCAATTTAGTTCCATGTCCTTTCAATGACTTTGTACTTCCTTCAAATATGACACATGACAAATTGCCCAAGACTGAATGCAGAATTCATCTTTGAAAAAAAAATCTTCCACCTCCTCTTTAGCCAATCATTGACTACCTGCACTTATAGCAAATTGTCCTGGCTAAGATCGAAGGATCTTCTCCAGTTAATTATCCAATTTTGTGTGGTAGTAGTACCAAAGTGTATGTTCTGCTAATTCAAAAGATGAACCACCCTACTCTTGGTGTAATATCCATACACTGTAATCCCTTTTCAACTAGCCAGATTGGTCTTTTGGTAAAAACTCCTGGCATCTTTTGATGGTTGGGTGACTTAACTTCCCAGATACTGCTTAGACTGAGGACATGGTTGAAAGAGATTTTTCCTTAATTTTAATTCCCGTTTTAAAAAAATCTTCTCAGTCTATGGAGATTCTCTGTCATCCAGGTCACAAAGATGCTTTTTCAAAAGGCAGCTGGACTTTCTTTGTATTTTCATTGAAGACGAAACAAAGAAATCAAAGGAAGTTCAATTGCCTTTCGAAAAAGCTCCTTTGTGACAATCTTCTCAGTCACATCTAAAAGTTGTGGTTGGGTTTATGAGTAAAGTAAACCTAGTGAATAGGTGAGGCGAAAGAAGATGCCGTCAGGTAAACAGAATTTATCCAAAAATAACATAAGGGGGTTATGGAACAAAATGACCTTTTTTCAGAGGGATTAATAAAACGATAGTTCTGTTGGAGTAAATCATTTGTGATATTCTCAGTGTGTAACATGACCAAAGTTGGCATTGTTCATAGCACACAATTCAATGATAGGAGTATAGGCAGCCTGATTTTATTTGCATGCTTGTTTATTTATCAAATTTATATAGTTTCTCATTTCATTAATAATGATTCTGGGTGGCATACAACAATGAAATAAAACAATGAATATGTAAAAATGGCCCTTATTTAAAATATAAAACCAACACATAGGAGAGAGTGTGTATTAATTGTAATGATGAACCATCTTAAAATATCACCAGTGTCCTGGGAGCTCACATAGCAATAGCAATAAGACTTACAGGCCACTTTACAACACTCTCTAAGCCAGTGATGGGCAACCTTTTTGGCGTGGTGTGTCAAAAATTGGCAAAAAATTGAGCATAACTCGCGTTGTGTGTCAC